CCAGAAATCTCCTTAGAAGCCAGGATGGCCAAACTTTGTCTCATGTACTTTGGACATGGTATCAGGAGGGACCAGTCCCTGAAAAAGGACATCATGCTTGTAAAAGAGGAGGAAGACCCTCAATGAAATGGATTGGCACAGTGGCAGCAGCAATGGGCTCAAACAGAACCACAATCATGACGGATGACTCAGGACTGGTCAGTGGTTCATTCTGTTGTGCTTAGGGTCACTATGGGTCAGAACCAACTCAACGGCATCAAACTTCATCACCATCAGCAGCACTGGATAACAAAGACAAGTGACAAACTGGAAACTGGAAATAGCCCAAATGATCTTCAACAGATGGATGAATAAACAAACTGTGGTCCATCCAGCCAATGGAATACGAGGAGTCACTGATGAAAAGGAAGGAGGTATTGATACATGCAATCATTTGGATGATTCTCGGAGGCAGGGTGCTGAGAGAAAGAAGCCAGGCGCAAAGGTTCTACACCCCATCATCCTATGACCTTCACATGATCTTCACAGAGACCAGATGGTTGATAGGACCCCAATCTCTGGGCTCCTTCATCCTTGTCCTTCAACTAGCTCTGACTGTTTCCCTTTCTGTCTCCTCTCTGGAGCTGGGGGCTGAGGCCTCTTATCCCCCACATTTCTCAGGATGGGTCTGGACACCTTGCCTCATCTAGTTGTTGTAGAGTTGATTCCAATTCATGGAGACCTCATATGTGTTAGAACTGGGCCTCGTAGGTTTCCAAGGTGGATTATGACCATTCCTTGCTCCTGAAGCACTTCTCTGTGGGCTCAAACTTCCAACCTTCCAGTTAACAGATGAGCATATTAACTGTTTGCACTACCCAGGGACTCCAGACACCAAGTAGGGAATTATAAACACTCAGTGGCTGTGTTTGTGGGGCCAGAAACCTGACCTTGAATCTTAGCTCAGTCACCTTCCAAGCGTGAGGCTCTGGATAAGCTAAGCCTCTTCTCATTAACTCCGACAGCTCTCTGTCCCCCTGATGCCTCACTTTCCCTCTTCAGAGACACTCTCAATGAGACAGACTCACTGAAAGGCTGAGACCTAATCATCAACTCATAGAATCAGCTTTCCCTCACCCCACATATCTCATCGTCCCATGCATGGGACTCCCGTGTGGTAACAGGAGATTACAACAGAAGTGAATGACAAGGCTTAGACGCTATTTAAGGAAGAGTGTCAAAGAGACAAGAAACATGGACACCAGAGGAAAGTTAAACCTTTGACACCTATAGTAACAGTAAACACCCTAAACTCCTGGCCAGATAAACATAAAAGTCTCACACCAAAGTGTGCTATTTGCCTTAGTTCCTAAAACATTTATATACATATATATACATACATATGTATATGGAGTCCTGGTGTGGCGCTGTGAGTTAATGCGCTGGACTGCAAAGTCAGTTACCCTATATAGGGTCACTCTGAGTCAGAACTGATCAACGGCATTTAACAACAACAAATATTTATATATACAAATATATATAGCTCTGGTAGCGTAGTAGTTACGAATCGGGTTGTGAACCGCAAGGTCAGCAGTTCGAAACTACCAGCTGTTCCGCGGGAGAAAGATGAGACTTTCTGCTCCGGTAAAGATTTACAGCCTCAGAAACCCTGTACAGGGTTGC